AAATCTATTAAAGTTTATAACCTTTTATTTTATAATATTTACATAATCAAATCCTTGCCAATTGAATAAATAACAAAACTTACAAGTAAATTTTGTAATTAAATCACAAACAAATTGTAAAATTGGAAAAAAATATTTATTACATCAAAAATATTTCCAAAAATGTCTCTCTCCAATAAATCGATTCTCTCTCCAATAAATCGAATCTCTCTCCAATATATTTATATAATCTTATTTGTTTTTAATTTATATTATTACATAAAATTTATATATAATAAAAATAAATTTGTTTTTCACACATTTTGCTATTTAATTTTTCGAAAACGGACGTATATAACTCAAACAATAAAGGAAAAAATATATGTAGAACGTTTACATACGGTAAAAAATTTTAGATAATAGTTCAAAACCATTATAAATAGTACTAATATGTTCACAACTACAAATGAACATGAACTTTGATTTCTCAGGTATCCAAATTAAAAATTTATTCAGTTTAATCCGGTTCTTTATTTAAGAAAAATAAATCTTTAAAAAGTTTCAAAATATTATAAAATTTAATTTTTTAAAAAGTTTAAAATATTATAAATATTAAAACTTTTAAAAGCTGAAAATTATAATATTTATTTTAAGTTTTATAGAATATTTAAAATATTAAAAAAATTTAACCTCTAAAAAAATTAAAAATACTATTAATATTTTAACTCTAAAAGTATTTTAAAATATATAATATAGTAAATAAATATGATTGAACGGGTTTGAGTTTATATAAATATGATTATATTTTTCTTACGGGTTGTCTATATTAAATTGTTTTTACGGGTTAAGTTAAAATATAAATTTTTATTTACAACAAATCGTCTCGCGGTGTACTGCGGGTTTTTTTATGTGGGAAGTATATCGCGGATTGACCACATATATCTATGAGTCTACTTATTATACAAATTCATAAAATTAAAAAGATATAAACATGTATAAAACTAGACTATATAAACCAACTACGAAAATGATCAGTCAAACAAATATATTAAATGATGGACATGTGGTGTACCGCAAAGTAAATCCTAGTTAATATTTATTTAGAGTATGATTTCAAACTATGTTTATTTGTAGCTTTTAAGAAAATCATCAAGACACATAAAATACATATCTTTAGGATCTGTATGTATGAGAATTTTTCATGACTAGACTATTTGATAAATCTATGTTAATATCCTCTTATGTTAGGAGTTATGAAGCGGACATGATCGAAAACATAGCCATTGATGTTTCAAACATGTTAAATTTCTCCACACCATCAAGAGATATTGACAATTTAGTAGGGATAGGAGCTCATATGGAAAGGATGGAACAATTGTTACGTCTAGATTTGGATGAAGTAAGGATGATCGGGATTTGGGGGCCGCCTGGGATTGGTAAAACAACCATCGCTAGAATTATGTTTGACCAAGTAGCCAACAAATTCCAATTTAGTGCGATCATGTTTGATATCAAAAGAAGCTATCCAAGTGTTCGTTTGAATGACTTTAGCGCACAATTGCAACTACAAAGCGATTTGTTATC